CACTCTCCTCACCTGTGTGCTGCCCTGCACCAGCTCACCCGTGCCTGTGTCTCAACACTGAAGCCCGTGGATGCTTACGGGGCTGATCCGCACCTTTCCCCACTGCTCTGTTCCAGTGGTGGGCAGCACCCTCCGGCTCCTCAACACCTCGGCCAACAGGCGCCTCTTCGACAGGGACGGGGTCCCCGGGGGCTGCGTGCGCTGCGCCGTGGTGGGCAACGGCGGCATCCTCAATGGCTCGCGGCAGGGCACGGCCATCGATGCGCACGACCTGGTCTTCAGGTGAGGATGGGGCCGGGCGGGATGGGGCCGTGGTGCTGGGGAGGGGCCAGCCCTGGGCATGCATCCCATGCTCTTCCCCCAGGCTCAACGGGGCCGTCATCAAAGGCTTCGAGGAGGATGTTGGCACCAAGATCTCCTTCTATGGCTTCACGGTGAACACCATGAAGAACTCCCTCATCGCCTACGAGGAGTACGGCTTCACCCAGATACCCCAGGGCAAGGTGAGACCCGAGGGCTTGCTGGGGAGGAGGTGACCCCTAATTGTCCCTCGGGGCTCCCCATCTCCCAAGCCCTCAGTCCTTGTCCTGCTGCTCGGGCAGTGCCCCAAGGGCCCCCCAGTGCCACAGCTGTGTCCCTGCTGCAGGACCTCAAGTACATCTTCATCCCCTCGGATGCCCGTGACTACATCATGCTGAAGTCAGCCATCCAGGGCAGCCCGGTCCCAGAGGGCTCGGACAAAGGGGACGAGTGAGTAGCCCCCAAGTTCCCCCCAGCACCTCTGGTGATGCAGTGGAGGGAGCAGGACTTGCCTGTCCTCACCCCATGCCTGTCCCTGGTGGGATAAACCCCAAGCAGCCGCAGGGCTCCCATGACACGAGTTCTGCCGCTCTCCTCACCCTGCACAGGCCACACAAGTATTTTGGACCGGAGGCATCTGCTGAGAAGTTCAAGCTGCTGCATCCAGATTTCTTGCAGTACCTGACGACCAGGTGAGGGTGATGGGCTCAGACCGGCTCTATCCTGCCACTGCTCTCCCCAGTGCAGACCAGTGGTGCCAAGCATCAAAGCACAATCCCAGTTCCACCCCCCACGCACTGGGACCACCTCTGCCCTGTGTTCTGCAAACAAGGCAGAGGCATCCCTCCCCTGCCATTCCGATCCACTGCAGACAGCTCACATTCCCTCCTGCACCTCGCTGTGCTTTGCCTCCCATTTCATACAACCCAGACTGGTTTGGGTTGAAGGGACCTTAAAGCCCCTCCAGCTCCAACCCCTGCCACGGGCAGGGACCCCTTCCACTGGAGCAGCTTGCTCCAAGCCCCTGTGTCCAACCTGGCCTTGAGCACTGCCAGGGATGGGGCAGCCACAGCTTCTCTGGGCACCCTGTGCCAGCGCCTCAGCACCCTCACAGGGAAGAGCTTCTGCCTAAGAGCTCAGCTCAGTCTCCCCTCGGGCAGGTTCAAGCCATTCCCCTTGGCCTGTCCCTCCATCCCTTGTCCCAAGCCCCTCTCCAGGTTTCCTGCAGCCCCTTTAGGCACTGGAGCTGCTCTAAGGTCTCCCCTTCAGGAGCCTTCTCTTCTCCAGGCTGCCCCAGCCCAGCTCTCTCAGCCTGGCTCCAGAGCAGAGCTGCTCCAGCCCTCACAGCAGCTCCTAGAATGAACTAATTCTTGACTTACTCTAACAAGAGCAGAGGTGGGCGCACAGGGATTGTCCTTTCCTACCTTGGATGAAAGCAGGCCTGCATTGAGGCGATGTCAAACAGCAGAGAGGTGCCTGCAGCAAATGAGCTGAGCCCTAGTAGCAGTCATCAGTGAATCCACACGAGCCCTTGCTTTCATTCAGTGCTCCTGCCTCGCTGGGCACGTGCTGGGGGCTGGCAGGGGGCTGCTGGCTCTGGTGGCTTCAGCACCCCTCTGATGTGCTGTGTGCTCTGCAGGTTCCTGCGGTCGGAGCTGCTGGACACGCGCTATGGATCGCTCTACATGCCCAGCACTGGTGCCCTCATGCTCCTCACTGCACTCCACACCTGTGACCAGGTACAGGGACACAGGGATGCCCCCTACAGTTGTGGGGGGGCTTTGAAGAGCTGCTGCAAGCTCATGGTGGGGACCAGCGTGTCCACCCCATGTCCCTCTCCAGGAGAGCCCTGACCCTGCTCTTTCTGTCCCACCTCCCTCCCCGCAGGTCAGTGCCTATGGGTTCATCACCACCAACTACGAGCAGTTCTCAGACCACTACTACGAGGTGGAGAAGAAACCCTTGGTGTTTTATGCCAACCATGACATGATGCTGGAGGCGGCTCTGTGGAGGAGCCTGCACCGAGCAGGGATCATGACCCTGTACCAGCGGTGAGGCCGGGCAGCTGCCCACAGGGGCAAGTTCAAGGACTCCTGTGGCTCTTCTCCTCTTCCCTGAAGGCCACCTTCTCCCTCCGGAGGGCTCTGCCCAGCCAGCCCAAAGAGCAGCCCCGCCGCACCGCAGCCGGCAGGGGTACGATGGTGAGGGACAAGGTGAAGCTGGTGGAGGATCCTTTGGGATCTCCAACACTGTTTCATGGCTCAGTGTGATTGAATGTGGCCTTTGGAGCACCAAGAAACACCGTGGCACGTGGTTGTGACCTTCCAGCCCCATGAACACGGATGTGGGGCAGCACTGGCCCCTGTGAGGTTCAGGCTGATGGTGGAAGATGCTGGAGATGTGTACCTGTGGCTGGAAAACACCCTTCACCATCATGCTCCAGCTCAAATGCTCATCACCACGGTGGGACCACAACAGGTGTGATGGATCCTTGGGGTGGTGACTGGATCATCTCAGCAACCTGAACGTGGTGTGTTTAGAGAACACCTCCCTCCAGGCTGCAGGAAGCCCCATCTCCAGCCAGCTCTGGGTTGAGGTGCTGCTGCCCAGAAGGATCTGTTTGCCTCCATGACCAGCAGGAAAGACTTAGCTTGGCTGCCCTCTCCTGCAACAGACACACAGTGTGCCCTGTCATTTTGCCCGTCTCCAGGTCATGGTGTTTTCAAGCAAGGCTTCAAAGCCATCAGCTGTGAGTAGGGTTACTGCAGCTCAGCTGGGACATCACAAACACGGCTGGACTTGGAGCACCCTGGAACTGAGAGTGCCTGCAGCACACGTGTGCAGGAGAGTGGGTTTGGTGGGGCTTCCTTCCATGGGGACCATGCAGTGCCCTCCAAGTGAGGAGGCAGCCCCAAGCCAGTTGCATGATGGACCCTGAGCGATCATTACTCCTCCCCAAAAGCCCCAGGGGGTGATGGTTTGGAACTCATCAGCCATCCCATGTAAGCCAGCACTAAGGAAGACCCTTTGGGGAGGCTGCTGCAGCCAGTGCTGATGGGGCACTGCAGAGGGAATGGTGTGACCGGTTTCCCACTCCGTAATGACATAAATGCTCAATGACTGTTCTCTTTTACGCCTGTTTCTGTGGTTTCTATGGGGGGTGAGGCCTCTGCCTCCCACAGAAGGGCTGTAGCATGTAGCAGTGAGCCTTTGGCTGGGGAACAGCCCCAGTTACAGCAATGGGGCCATTCCCCATCCAGGGTTAATCCCTGGAGCCCTATGTGGATGGCTGTGTTGGATCTATGGGAACAGCTTCCGATCATGGCCTTTTTCCACTTGGGATGCTCTGTGCTGTGCGTCAGCTGAAGGGAACAATTCACTGCAGAGATGGCAAGAGATAGGCAGGCTGTGAGCCAGGGAACCTCAAAACCCCCTCGAGCTCACAGCAGGCTGCTTTCAGCCAGTTCAAAGGAGCAGTACAGAAGGTTGCTCTCCCATTCAGATGTAATCTCAAGCTCGGAACCTATCTTGTGTTCCCAGATCTCAAATTAACCTTTGTTTGCACCAGAGCCACCTCACAATGGTACCAAGGCAGCATGTCAGACCTGTATTTTATTCACAAGCACTCAGCAAAACCTCTTGCATGACAAGAACCAACCTGATCCCCACATCACCTGACCGGGACAGCACCAAAGCCTCCTCAAACCAGTGCTGGCCAAGCCTCAGCAAAGCCAGCCCAAGCAGGTGACTTGGACCATGGCAGCGCCTTGATGCACAGGGCCAAAAGAGGTTTTACAGATGAGCACTGTCCCAGTGCAGATTCCTGCCAGGAATCCCATCCAGCTCATGGGCAGAGCTCTTTGTGCACATCAGGAACTGCAACTCCTTTTTCCTTTCCAAAAGGGGTTTCCAAGCTGTGTGTACCCTGCCCCAGAGTTAAACACACTCCATTTGACCACACAAGGAACCCAATGGCTCTACTATTTATGAAGATAGGCTGAGAAAGTTGGGGCTGTTCAGCCTGGAGAAGGCTGCATGGAGACCTCAGAGCAGCTTCCAGTATCTGAAGGGGGGCTATAGGGATGCTGGGGAGGGACTCTTCATTAGGGACTGTAATGACAGGACAAGGGGTAATGGGTTCAAGCTTAAACAGGGGAAGTTTGGATATAAGGAAGAAGTTCTTTACTGTGAGGGTGGTGAGGCACTGGAATGGGTTGCCCACATAAGATGTGAATGCTCCATCCCTGGCAGTGTTCAAAGCTGGGTTGGACAGAGCCTTGGGTGATATGGTTTAGTGTGAGGTGTCCCTGCCCATGGCAGGGGGGTTGAACTGGACGATCTTAAAGTCCTTTCCAACCCTGTTCTATGATTCTACTGCCTCTCCTCTTCTTCCTGATCTTCAAGCTTCCAAACAGAACACAAGAGCCATTTCTGTCATTGGTCCTGGCTTACCTGCAAGTCATCTTGTCACACTGCTTTTCCTATGTTTCCTAGCAGTTCCTGCTATCATGAAGCGCTTTTCCAGTGTCTGCAGGCACTGAAGTCCTGAGGTATTGGGGAAGAGCAGGTTTTGCTGTAAGAGTAAGCTCACAACTGCCTGCATTTCTGAAAGGGTTTTACCCCAAATCCTTTTTCGCTGCTCAAAACCCTTTCTGCTTAAGTAGATAACCTTGACAAAAATAACCAAACTTCAACTCTCAAGATTTTCCACAACTTGCTTTATTCTGGAACAAAAACAGCAGGGAACCACTTCTTCCTCCTGCCAGCTGCAAATCGGGTCCTAGGTGAAAAAAGACAGTGTCAGAGCAGAGCAACTGTCAGCTGAAGAGCTCCTCATCTGCAGTATTTAATCGAGAATTCAGGTTTCAGGAGACAAAAATTGCTGCCCACACGGCCAATGGCATTAGCACCCAAATCCTCTTTGGCTTTACTGGGAACTTACCCAGGATGGGGCTGCAGTGAGGAGAAGCCTGCAGTTATGCACTGGTGGCCATTTCACACTGTTTCCAATGATCTATCAATGGCCATTTGTGAGATCTGCTCCAGAACCATCTTCCTTCTGCTGCTTCTGGAGTTGGGAGACACCATAAAGCAATGCTGTAACTGCTTTCCTGGAAATACTTTGTTATGAAACCACCCTTTTTCTCAAAGCACTTTCCCCCCCTTCCTCCTTGGAAGCCAAAAGCCCCACATACTCTTCCCAGTGACTGGTCCCACTCAAACACAGTGGTACTGACAGAGCAGTCACCGTGACTGTTGGTTCGTAGCACCATTCCCTCACATCCTGCACACCAACCTTGGTTGTTAAGGAAGTCCACTGTCACCTTTGTTGGCTCAGCTTGTCAGGAAATGTTACTGATCTTCTGCAAACAAATACAAACTCTTGTTAAATAAAGCATGAAATTATTTAGCAGAATGGAGCTGTCAGCTCCCTGGAGACAAAGTGCTGCTACAGCCTGGGTGTTCCATGACTGTACATTAGGTGAGGGAAAACCACATTTCCTACCTGCCCTTCAACTTGCTGCTGTGCCTCCCTGGTTGGAGAAGCAGCTCAGAAGCTTTTCACAGATCTAATCTGTGCTGTGGCAACAGCAGTTACTCCCTGTCCTGAGCCTTACTGTACTAGAGAGCCTGTGTGTCTGGGACAGAACTTGTGCATCACCAGGGCATGAAGAAAAGGGGAGAGATGCTGCTTCTGCCCTACTGGTGTCCCTCCTGTCGCTGGGAATCTTTGCTAGACCTGTTGAGGGGACATAAGCCTCAGTGGACAGTTTTCTCCCTCACAGCCGAGACGTCGGACAGGGATAACGACACATCACAGGCTTGGTTTCTCTCCTGCCCTTGGCTGTATGAACTCCTTAAGTTCTATACAATTCCATGCAAAGACACCCAGATGCTGCTTCAGTGTTCTTCCCGATGACTAGTATTTTTCCTGGTAAGCATTCAAAGACGGTTGTCTGCTCAGCATGACTCGTGCTGCCTACACACAGATCAAAACCCAGCAGTATGCGATACCAAAGCACTCTCTTACCAGTTTGAAGCCCGACTTGCTCTCTGCCAAAGCTGTCTCTGGGCAGCAGTACAGCCCCCAGGCCTCTGCAGGACAACTTCCTCCTAAATACAAGTTGTATTAAACACCGTTAGCAACAGCATTTCACACTGGGTCACAGAGCAAGAATTAAAGTCAAGAAGGTTTCCATTCAGAGACAAGTTTTGTCTCAAACTCAGCACAGCAGAAGACAGAGACAAAGGAACACGTTTGCCAGTGCTTTTTGTCACTCAGACAAGAAACTCTGGGACATGGATGCTATGTAAATCCTTGCTTATTAATAAAACCCATGCTAACCCTGTGACTTCAGTGGTTTAGATACTTTCTAGCCACTTCAAGCAGACACCCTCCTCACTATCATAAACATCTCCCTCCTTAAACACAAGAATAATCCACTCCTGGGTGTCAAGTGTCTCTGGGTTTACTTGAGCAATACATCCAAGCAGACACAACCCTGCTGGGGAAGGATTCTTCAAGGTGTGCCCTTGCTAGGACGACCCTTTGGTGTATGAGAACTGCACGTCCCCACTGCCAGCAACCTGATACAGGTTTGGAACTGTCTCAGTGCACCTCTGGGTAGGCAAACAGAACAATTATCCTTTCACTGGGTCTATTGCTGCACAAATACAGTTATGAGATGAGCTGTGTCAGGTGTCTCCATAATGGGCTGTCATCCAATCCCTCCTAATCCTTTCTACTCCTGCTCATCTCTGACCACGCTGACAAGCAGCTGCTGTACTGGGTACCAGCACCAGTCAAATTCCCATTCATTCAGGGCTGCCTGTCAAGTTGTGTTCCATGGCAGCACAGAGCTGCACAGGCAGGTGCCAGCTGCAACAAAGCTACAGCCTTCATTGGCTTAATTACATTAATCAAGCATTGGGCTTTTATCCCTCCTACCAGTAGCCCCAGGGACACAAGGGCTATCATCTGACACAGCACAGTGTTGTTTCCACAGCCCAGTGAGAGGCCAAACCCACACTACAAGGTAAGAGGCTGCTGTTTCTTACCATGGTGCAGGTTTAGTGTTGGTCCAGTGAAAGAATCAGCTTCCTAAGCAGGTGAGTGTTTTCACCCTGGCTTTGCACCATGCCACACTCTGAAACAGAGAAAGGAGCCAGAGTCAGCTCATACAACACACCACCCCTTTACCTTCGCGTATTTAGTGCTGAGCCTCAGAGCTAACCTTCCACAGCGGAAAACTCAATTTCAGACAGGGATAACTTGTATCATCACTAGCTCAGCTTCCAGGGCAGCAAACACCTGGCCCACACAGGCCCACCCCAAGCCCTCAACCCTGTTCTTGGCTCTGGGTTTGCCTCCCTCCCGGCCAAGAGCAATGGGAATGCGGGCCCTGCTCGCTCAAGCTCGCTGCTTGCAGGGTGCTTAAAGGCAAGCCCTGACGCTGTACCGATGGCAACGCGCGGGCTGAGCCATACCGGCTGCTCTATTAAACACCCCCCTACAGGCGCTGCAGGAGCAGAATCGGGATAAGCGTGGTGGGGCAGCACCCGGGCCAGCAGCATCCCCGCATGGAGCGGGCCGGAGCCGGGCCCTGCTTCCCTCACCCACCACAGCGGGGAGGCCGCCCCATTACGTCCCCACAGGCAGCTCTCAAGGCGTCGCCGCACCGCAATCGCCATTACCGGCAGCGCGCAGGAGTGCCCCGCCCGCCGTCTCCGCTGTCCCCGCGCCTCTCGGGGCCGCCGTGCCCGCGGATGGCTGCCGATGGCGGCCCGCGGTACTCACCGGACGCAGCACAGCCGCCATGCCGCCCGGAAGAGAGAGCAGGCAGAGAACAGGCCGGGAGCGCGGGCAGCAGATCTCGCGAGAGGCGCGCGGTCTCACGGGAACGGCGGGCCCGACCCTCAGCGGGGTCGGGCATGGCGGCCAGTGTCAGTGGCAGTGCGGGGCTGCGGTACCGGGTGGTGGGAGGTGTTTAGAGGAGGCACTGGGGAGGGATTCAGCCCTGGGAGGGTGCTGAGGCGCTGGCACAGGGTGCCCAGAGAAGCTGTGGCTGCCCCATCCCTGGCAGTGTTCAAGGCCAGGTTGGACACAGGGGCTTGGAGCAAGCTGCTCCAGTGGAAGGGGTTGGAGCTGGAGGAGCCTTAAGGTCCGTTCCAACCCGGACCAGGCTGGGATCCTGCATCCTCAGGCATTTGTATTTGTTCATTCTTGTGCTTTGTTCAGTAGGGAGACACACACGGAATCACAGATCAGGTTGGAAAAGACCTTTGAGCTCATCAGGTCCAACTGTTCCCAGCCCTAACCCATGGCACTGAGGCCTCGTCTCCACGCTGTGTGAACACTTGCAGGGACGGTGCCTGCAGCCCTGCCCTGGGCAGCCTGTTCCAATGCCTGAGCACCCTCTGGGGCAGGAATTGTTCCTCAGCTCCATCTAAACCTGCCCTGGTGCAGCTTGAGGCCATTTCCTCTTGTCCCATCCCTTGTTCCTTGGGAGCAGAGCCCAGCCCCTCCTGGTTCCATCCTCCTGTCAGGCACTTGTAGGGAGCCATTAGGTGCCCCCTGAGCCTTCTCCACACTGAACCCCTCAGGTCCCTCAGCTGTTCCTTGTGCTCCAGAATTGTACTTCACTTCCAAAATCTGAACAACCATTAGCTCCCGTAGGAAGGGACACACATCGCAAAGGTGAATTAGCATGAGACTGGGGATTAGGCAGAGATTAGTTAGCACATACATGTGTGTGCTTTGAATTTGTGCCTCCTCCAGTCTGTGCAATGGTTATGTTTTGATGTTAAAACCTGCAGTGACATCTGTAGGATCCTGTTCAGCTTATGAAGAATACCAAAGTATAAATGTAACCAAAGGGAGGAAAAATAAGAATCACTAATGTGCACTTTCTTGCTTCAAAGCTTTATCCATCCTTGTGGTGAAAGGCTGTGGTGACTGGAAATGGAAAGCAGACAAGAAACCCCATATCTAGCTGGTGTCACCCCTGAAATGTCCGAGACATGGGGGGTTCCCTGTGTTTCTGGGTGTCTGAATCCAAGGTGTGCTCATGGAAAGCTGCCCTGTTCCCCACAGCGACAGCAAGAGTAAGCTTCATTGGTGTTGCACGGCATGGCCACCTCCTCTGTTGTCCTACCTGGCCCTGGGATTGCCAGGTCTATGAACACAACACCCGTGTTATCCCGAAGAGCCGAGTCCCCTGAGCTCAGTGTCCCTCCGATGGCAGGGAGATGGCTCCGTGCTCCAGGAGGCCCTTTTCCAGACAAGGCAGTCAAGTTCCCAGGGACAGGCAGTGTGACTTCGTGTGTATTTTTAGTGCCTGGATCCTCCTGGCCTTGTTCCTATTTTAGAACATGAGTTTTCTTTCCAGAGCATAGATTTAACCTGACCCATGAGTCCTTTGCTCTCCGGAATGGCCCATGGTGTCTCTTAAAGTCTCTCTTAAGTCAGCAGACTGCAAAAGGCATTTTGTTTAATTCTGTTTTTCTTGCAGTGGTGCAAGGAGTCTATAAAGAGATGCCAACGTGCTGTTAAAAATAAGCTGCTTCCAACAGAAGTGGCTGCCTAGGAGGCCTTCTCCAGCCCTCTGTGTCCTCTGCTAGCTGTGGAAAGCCGAGCAGGAACCTGGAGGAAGCAGCCTGCAGTGAGTCCCTTCCCCTGGGATGGGAACATGAGAGCTTCAGCGCCTTCCTGCCCCGCAGGAGCCTGGTGCACAAGTGCTTGGCCTGGTAGGAGAGCGGATGATGATACAGAATAGCAGCAATTAACAGAGTCTTCATTGCAGCAGCCTTTGCTCTGTGGAGATGTGGCTGGCAATGTGCCTGACTACTTTTAGCTTTCTGAATAAGCAAATACACCAGACACCACAACTAGAATTAGTCCTTTAATTCCCCGAGGGATAGAAGGTTTTCTTTTTTATTTGGTTGGGTTTGGTTTAATACAACACTTGTGCAGAATTCAGATCCTGGAAAGAGGGAAGATGGAGACTTGGATGCGCTGAGGGATTTGCCACCATCTTGGGGTTTGCGTGGAAGCTCTCAGAGTAACTGTCTGCTTGTGCCTACAAATAGATGAGCAGTGCCAGGTACCAAGCTCAACAAGTAGACTCTCAGGAGAGCAGCATGAGCAAGTGCCCAGTCATTATGCCTGGTTGTGGTGCATAGATAATATGTCCAAACTATTTCAGAGGCAGAGCAAAAGCTTTGGATGAAGAGCCATGGTCAGCACCTCTCCTATGCCTGTCCTAAACCTCTGCAACTTTGCCTGTGTGGGACCTAACTCCGTTTTCTCAGCACTTCCCTTTAGAGGGCGACCATGTCACACACATCTTGGGCGAGCAACCTCAACCCGGGAGCTGCAGTACAAGGCAAAGCCTCCCAGAGGTCAGCAGAACATGGTGGCTCTTCTCAAGGGCCTCTGAGCCTTCCTAGAGAAGCGAAGGAAGTGATGGTCTGCTCTGAACTTGGGGTTGAACATACTGTTCTTTCTCAGGCGGTTGCAATGCTGCTCCCAAAGGCAATCCTCATAGACTTCCTGTGGCCAGTCTCCATCAGTTACGGCATTTTCTTGCTCCAGTCTTTGAAAGGTTGAGCAAGAAGGAAAGTTATTAAAAGGGCAGGGAGATCTCCTACATGTGGATGTTTTGGGGCTGCTCTCATTTTCCCAGCAGAGGATCTGGAGGGGTTTGCATCCTCCAGCAAATCATATGCTACCTTAAGTCCCCATATTCTTCTTTCTCAAGGTGCTTCAGTATCTGTCGTGCAAAGCCACAGAGTTACCCTCATCCTTGCAGCAGGTAACAGGAGAATGGGCAGAATATGTGCCAGAGGAGGGGAAGGCAGAAAGATAAGCAGAAATCAACAACAGAACCTCTCCAGCATCAGCTGGGCTTTGATCCCACGCTTAAATCTAAGGACAAGGCCTCCTCCCAGTTTCCCACCCATTTCCCCTCTTGGCTGCCTCTAAGTCTCTCCAGGGAGATGCTCTCCATGCTTACTGACAGCAAGTTGATTTCCTCTTGCTTTCCCCCTCTGCCTGGCCTGGTCCCACCCTGCAGACAGGGTTCCACAAAGCCTGGGGAAACAAAGCATCTGCTCCCTCAGAGATGCCCTGCTGTGGTTCTCATCTTCGACATATGGCTGGCGGAGGCAACCAGGGTATCCGAGCACATTAAGAAGCTAGTCCCCCATGGCTACCTGTGTCTGGCTGACATCAGCCCCCTGTGTGGCTTGATCCTATGAAGCACAAGGAGATGCTGAGGTGCAGGGGGTAGCTAGATTGATGCTTGCTTCTGTTATGCTGTGTGCACAGCAGTGCACAAAGACCAGTCCCTGGGTGGCGATTGTTTGCTGGGATTTCAGGTGCCACACTTCCAAGAGAAAAATGTGTAGGGTTCAAAATAAGCCTGCTGTGAGGTCCCAGATCCTGGTGTCTGCTGCTAAAGCGGGCCCAAGAAATACCAGAAGGGCTCTTTGGAGCTCAGGAGCATACAAGCAACATCTTCCCACACAGGACAAGTCACACTGCAAACAGAATGGCCTTCCCCTCTCTTAGCAGCAAAACCCTTAAGCCTCCATTGAATGTTAAATACATGCTTAAACCCGTTCCTCCTCAGCGTGTCCTGTGAGCTTACATGGAAATTTAGCAGGCTCAGAAATGCTCTGCTCTAAGTGAGGCCTATCTAAAGGCTGAACCTTGTATTCTGAATAACAAGAGCTTTATCTTTACATAAGATCTGTGGCTGTTTCTGGGAGGGTGGTGGGACCTGCAGGCAGGGCTGTGATGTGGATTCCTGCAGGTGCAGACCAGAAAAGGTTCCTCTTTCTCTTCCTGATGGTGCTGAGCAGCCACTCAGCTGTTCCTCCCACTTCCCCTTCTCCTCAAATGAATTTTGGGCACAGTGCAACAAAACCGGTCTTTACATCCTGTCTTCAAGTGCAGCAGGGAATGGAGCTTGAGGAGATCATGTCACAGGAATGGAGACAAGCTGATCGACTGATTCACTATGAGCGTGCTGAGGTGCTGGCACAGGGTGCCCAGAGAAGCTGTGGCTGCCCCATCCCTGGCAGTGCTCAAGGCCAGGTTGGACACAGAGGCTTGGAGCAAGCTGCTCCAGTGGAAGGGGTCCCTGCCTGTGGCAGGGGCTGGAGCCGGAGGAGCTTTCAGGTCCCTCCCAACCCGTTCTATGATGACTGACTTGATCAGTTCAGGTCTGATGTCCCAGCTAGGCAAAGTGACCATCCTGTCAGAGCTAGCCAGATTACATTCACAGCTTCATTCCTTGTAGGAGCTGATCAGAACAGAGAGCACACAACAAACTGTTCCCATTGCAGTGCCCACATCGCTAAATCCTGGGGCCAGATGTATGCATGTGTTGAGTAATAGCAGTAGGAATCCAGCTTCTTCATGGATGACTATGTTTAATTAAAGTATATATCCTCAGAGCATACCAAGAGTTGGAAGATGTGTACAGCTACATAAATGCACTCAAAGCTGATAGGAAAAACTTAATGTTGTAATGCTTAAAACAAGGAGTAAGATTTCCATCATAGAAAGGCCAAAGCTAAAGCAGTTACCAGGAATGGAGAGTTGACCTTCCTCTGGATAATAAGGTGGATCCTCTCTATTTTCTGTGTCAGCCTGAGAGATTAGAGGGTAAAGCAGAAAGGGTTGGTATGAAAGTCTCTAGGCAATATTAATGGGGAACTTCTCAGGTCCTCTTCTATCACAAACAGTAGTTCTGTTTGCTTGGATTACTCGGCCAACCAGCCGTTGATTCAGTCAACCCAGCCTGCACTGTCATAGAAGCAG